TTTTTTTTATGTACGAGTCAAAGACCATGCTCTACTTTGACCTTCAAACTCATTGCCGTGGATTCAAACATTGGATTATTAGGTCTACTCTGTTTGCATTTCATGCTTCTTGACATTCAACTATTATAGGTTGGTTAAATTAACATTTGACATATTCCTTTCTTGTAGCTGTTCTCGGAGGTTGATGTGAAGCTTGTTTTTAAGGAAGTTTCATCCAAATTCCTACGGAGACGTATTGTGGAGGTATTATTTAAATGAACACCTGACATAGTAATTCCTCTGCCTCAACATGCAGTTTTCCATAATAGTTTGGCAATTTCGTTGACCCGACTGATTGGTAGTTTTTTCTTCTAAGCTGATGAGCCTTTGCTTGGTTGATACTAGATAATGGAGTCCGTATTAATCAAATCAATGAAAAGCGTAACCACTGTTCAGCTGTAGATTGTTGTTTATTGTGTTGACAGAATTCACAATTTTTGTATTCTTATTTGAGCACTATTTACAAATGGTGAATGTTGTAGTAAACCAGGGTTCTACATTTTATATTATTAATTATTTTTGTTCTAACACTTGAATGATGCATGGGTATTTACTGCAAAATATTGTACCTTGTTTACTTGTTTACGCAGGGAGGAAAAAGAAGCGACGGCAGAACACCTGAGGAATTACGCTCTATTAACTCACGTTGTGGTTTACTTCCTCGAGCTCATGGAAGTGCTCTTTTTACACGTGGTGAAACTCAGGTCTGGTTATTTTTGTAATGGGTACTTAAAAGGTAGCTGTCTGCTCTGCTTTGCCTTTTTTATGCTATTCCTTTCTAGATCATTTGTTATTACATCTGTTTTCTCGCCCTAAATGTAATCACTGCTCTAGAAATATACTTTTTATGTTGCATGAGAACTCTTTCCAGTGATTCTCTTAGCTCATATGTTCCTGTGGCCTATCTGGCCTCTTATCATAGCCTATGAGATTTATCTTTCCAAACATTCATTTATCTATATGTGCGGCCTTTTTATTTGTGAGAATTAAATATGAAAATGCTTTCATCGAGAATGTGAGTTATATTCTACTTCTGTCAATACCGATAACTAAATGAGGAACGCATAACAGTTAGTGCTAATCATTGGTCCAGTAAGCCTGTAATAAACTTTTGCAAACATTTTGAAGGACCTCAGAATAGAAAGAAAGTTTGGTTAAAAAAAAAAAAGAAAAAAACATATGAAACAACTTTCACACTTGAATCACCTTTTTGTTCTCAGCTTTGCATTCCAAAATAGCTAACATTCTAATGTAAACAACATTTTTTGCCCTCATGAGTAACTTATAACTTTTACTAAGATTTTTATCTAAAAATTAAGGGATTTCTTTGTTCAAGTTGTCCATGTTTGTATAAACGTGTAATATCTATCTTTCTCTAGCTTCAAGCATGTCTTTCTCCAATAAAGTTCACACGTAACTATTATTACGGATCTCATTTTGGCAAAAATATGAGCAGTTATGTTGTTCCAGGTACTTATCAAACTAGAGGAATCTTTACTTTTTAGAATTCCTGAAAAAATATATATTGCGGTGACAAATTTGTGAAGATAAATGTCCTGGTGACAATTGAAAACATGGAAATAATGTTAATTGAATTCGATAAAATCATGTAAGTCTGTATGCAAGCCTTCTAATAATTGGTTCCAGGAGCATGACATTCCTCTTATGCTTGTATTTTTCTTTTGATTTTCTTCTCTCATTTTGCAGTCTTTAGCTGTGGTTACACTTGGCGATAATCAAATGGCACAAAGACTAGACAATCTTGTTGATGAAGATGAGTTCAAAAGGTTCTATCTTCAGGTGGGTGACATTGATGAAAAGTTGATCTTTCTAATGGAGATTTTCAAAGTCTGGGTTGATTATATATTACTTGTCTTGAACCCATCATCAATCTCAAATGACTTTAACCCGTCTTGCGCTCTCTTTGCAACATGCGATCCATCCTACTTCCGCCAAACCTTCCAAGAACTATGTTTTGTTTCCTGAAGGAGTTATGCAGACATATCACTAGTTTGTATTGCCTTTGTTTAACACTTTCTTACCTAATCTAAATATCTAAGGAATTTAGTAGAAGAAGCTTGCACATAACTAGGTCCTGGTTGGCAAATGTAGAAGGAATTTGCTCTTTCTTCCTTATGATAAAGGCAATCTTTTTGTCTGCAGAGATTGTATTACTCCCAGATAAAGGGAAATCATTTAGCAATATTCATGGTCCCCATATTTTGCATTCTATACCAATAATCATGCAAGTGCAGTGAAATATATATTAATGGTATTTTGTTCTAGGACTTTGCGCTTTGTTGTTCAGCTACCTGGAGCACTAGTCTTAGACTCTTAGTTAATTCTGTCCATCACTGATATGAAAGTTTGCATACTGCATTATTATCTCACTTGTTACTCAATGTCTATAATTTATCTTACTAAAAAAAGTTAAATTTTTGGTTTCAGGTATTATAGTGAAATCTATCTTTTGTTTTGTTTGTTTGCGTAGTATTCTTTTCCTCCGTCTTGTGTTGGAGAAGTTGGACGTGCAGGAGCTCCATCAAGAAGAGAAATTGGCCATGGAATGCTTGCAGAGAGAGCCCTGGAACCAATATTGCCTTCTGACGGTGACTTCCCTTATACTATACGAGTTGAGAGTACCATAACTGAAAGCAATGGCTCATCTAGGTATAATATAATTATTAATCACTTTTATTAAGTTGTTTTTGATTTGTTTTAAAATGTGTTTCTTTTATGCCCTCTTTAAAAAAAAAATCCATCCATAAAATCTGTCGTTAGCTGTTAATCAATGGACTGTTTTACATGCAAAACAGATGCTTTTTAAAATGTGAGATGATAATGGATGTGAGTGGAGTTTGTTGTCTTGTTTTTTCTGGCTTTTTGTTCCCCATCTGAAATGCTCTTTACTCAGGTCAAATCTAGTCTTGCATCTTTTTATCTTGTTCCTGCATTTATCAAGTGTGAGGTGTGTTATGAATTGAGATTGTCTATTCCTTGTTTGTCACAGTATGGCTTCCGTTTGCGGAGGTTGCTTGGCATTACAAGACGCTGGTGTCCCAGTGAAGAGTTCGATCGCTGGAATAGCTATGGGCATGGTTTTGGACACTAAGGAATTTGGTGGCGATGGGACTCCACTTATCCTCTCTGATATAACAGGGGGTGAAGATGCTTCGGGCGATATGGATTTCAAGGTCAGGGAAGGGAAATTTCTATGCAGACCCAAATTTTAGTTTTTAGTTCTTTTCTTCCCTCTCTTTCAAACTTTCTAGGTTTGCTTTCAGGTTTTTTGTTTTACTTTTTTTCTTCGGGGTTCAGTGTTGCAAGGATATTTTTTAGAGTTTTCCACCAGCATTTAGAGTTTTTTTAGTTTCTAACAGTCATGTTTCAGTTTTAAGGGCATTTTTTATTTTGTCATTTCTATAATTTTGGTATGTTTTTTTTTTTATTTTTTTTTTTTAAATTTATTTCTACCATGTTGCAGGAATATGCCTCTTGGTTTTAGTACTCGTTCTTTTTACCTTGTGATTTAGCTAGAAAGATAGTTTAAATGCTTTTCCTCTACAATTCTGGTCAAGTAGAGGAGACAATATCCAGAACAATCCAACTCGTGCACCGGTTGAAAACAATTTTAAGATAATGTTGTTAAATGCTACATTTTTTTCTTTATTTTCTGTGCTACAGGTTGCTGGAAACAATGATGGTATAACTGCATTTCAGATGGACATAAAGGTTGTTCATCACAATTTTCTTAGTAATAGTTTCTTTCTGTAATTTCACTTGAACATGATTGATTATCTTGGATGTGATTGGTTCTGCAATTATTTGTATTCTGATGATCAGTAACAAAAGCTGGGGGCAAAAATGGTTCACCGATATTGTGTGATGGCAGGTTGTAGGAATTACGCTACCAGTAATGCGACAAGCTCTCCTGCAAGCAAGAGAGGGTCGAAAGCATATTCTTGGTAAATAAGTTTTGACTTTATATGATGACTGGGACCTTGACTTGATCATATACTTCAAAACAGTGAATGCCCATGTAAAACAATGTCACCTCTTAGACCAATGTTTGGGTAAATTCATCGTTCATCTATACGTGATACTGTTGTAAACTAAGACTTGGTTCTTCTCGACTCTACTTGTCTATTCATGAGCTTCATAAGTGTGCTTTTTTGTGTATTTCTGCATACATCATAAGTTTTTCTTTTTTGGTGCTCTCATGTGAAGCATTTGTATTAATATCTGATTCTGTGTTGTGTTGTTGTTCTGTCAGCTGAGATGGAAAAATGCTACCCTCCTCCTTCCAAGAGACTCTCAAAATACGCTCCAATTATTCATGTTATGAAGGTATTGTTTCAGTTGTGTACAATTTTTGTATTCGATGGTACGGACTGTTGGGTGAGCCTTTTTAACAATCACTTCTCTTAAAATTGCAGGTGAAAGCCGATAAAGTTAACCTGATCATAGGTTCTGGGGGAAAGAAGGTGAAGAGCATTATTGAAGAAACTGGGGTTGACTCTATTGAAACACAAGAAGATGGCATTGTAAGCGAACAAACCTTTAATATTTACTCCCAGTGCCCAGTAGTCATCCGTTAATTTTAATTTATCTTAAATGATAAGGTGTGGCATGATGAATATTGCAGGTTAAAATTACAGCTAAAGATCTGTCTAGCTTGGAGAAATCCAAAGCTATCATCAGCAACCTTACAATGGTTCCATCTATTGGCGATGTTTACAGGTACTTTTCATAGTAACCCTGGTCAATAGGAGCAGTTGCGAATTTATTTATTTATTTTTTGGCTATTTAGATGAAAAAAAAAAAGATTCTATGCTCTCCAGTTGATAGAACTGTCAGTATAATACTATAAACCACCGAATTCTAGTAATCCAATATAATTCTGGTTTTCTCTAACAGGAACCGCGAGATCAAATCAGTTGCCCCATATGGTGTTTTCGTTGAAATTTCACCTGGACGTGAGGTAAGCATAAAACCACAATAGCATTTGAGCTTCTTGCATCATAATAATATTAGTCTATATATTCACTCTCTCGTATTACTTTAGGACTAGTTGCATGATATTAAGCTAATAGCTATATATGATGGTGATGGGAAGCTTACTTTATTAACTCTCCATTATATGCTTCAGGGACTATGCCATATTAGTGAATTGAGTGCGAATTGGCTGGCTAAGCCTGAAGATGTAAGTAATATGTGATTTTATGTACTTTACTATATTCCAAGTGGTTGTTATGTAGTAACAGTCTGCAGCACGATTTACACAGGTTTTCAAGGTTGGAGATCATGTCGATGTCAAACTTATTGAGGTTCGGATCATTCCGTTTTATGTGATTTTGGTTGTATAGTTATTCTCCAAATACAACAATTCAACATTATATTTAATCATTGATATGGCAGCATAAGCTTTAGATTTAGATTCAATTCTTGATATATGTTGAGGTAAATTATGTGAATTAACAATTTAAATAAATATCATACGAATAAAATCCTCATATTATCATGTGCTTAAGAAAGTGAAAAAACACATGTTACTTATCTGTTCGAAATGTGTTAACATGCTAATTTATTTATTGTCGTTCATCTTAAATCACCTCCTTAGTAGATATCTACCAAATATTACCAAGTGCCCACAAATTATTTATTAGTTATATTCTACTGTCACAAGATTACTGCGTGTTTTAAGTTTGAACAAATTTCCGATTTTGTGGCAGATTAATGAGAAAGGACAACTTCGGCTGAGCCGTCGTGCGTTACTTCCCGAGTCTAACCAAGAGAAGCCGAGCACAAAGACACGTAGTGTTACTGCTAGCCCCACTAAAGAAAGTACAGATAACCAGAAAGCCAATAAGAAGAGTAAGCTGAAAAAAATGTCATCTGATCCAAAGAATGAGTTGGAGGTTGATAATACTGAGGCCAATAGTGGTGAGGTTGAAGTCTCAGTTCCAGCAGAAACTGAGCCTGGGGAAGGCGATACAGTAGTCAGGAAGAAGTTTGTCAGAAGACTTGTAAGCTCGGAAAAGGAATCGACCGAAACTAACAAAATCCAGCCCAAGAAAAATATGTCCAGGAATAAAGAAAATGCTGTTGTAAATGGAGAGGCCAAAGTTGGATAGTAAATACCCCTTGTGATATCTAATATTGGCAGGTGTCCACCTACAGGTATGTGCTTTGAAGTTTTGTTGTTTTATTTACGTGTTATTAGTGTTGTTAAATTAAACGAGTTTGGATCAGCTCGGCTCGTTAAAGAGCTCGAGTTCGAAGCCTGACCCGAGCTCGAGCTCATTCTCGCTCGTTGAGGGCGCTTGTTTGTATACATATATATTTGCTGAAAATGAGTTTCGAGCTTTGTTTGTTAACCACACAATTAATTTTGAAAAAGGTGGTATAGTTAGTTGTTAGTGGATTTTAGGTTTATATTAAAAGAATATTTAAAATAAAATAATTAAAATTGATTTGATGTAAGAGTAGGAGAGATGATGTGAAGTGATGGTTAGCTAAAATTATATGAGTGAATGAATACTGATTTAAAGTTGATGTGATGTAGGAGATAAATGATCGATTTATTTATTTATATTGATAATATTGAGGATAGTGGGGTTGAGTTAAAGTTGAGTTAGATTTTGAATATGAATTGAGTATGGAATGAGAAAATTTGTAAACAAACACATTGATCGGCTCGTTAAGGCGAACTCTCGTTAATAGTGATAAACGAGCCAAGCAATTTCTGGCTTGTTTATCTCGGCTCGTTTGTAGGCCCGAGTGTTATCAATTAACAGTGACTTCGTATATTTGATTATCCATGTTCCTTTTACTTAGCACCATACTTGGTTTAAAACCACCACCTTACATGACTAAATTTTCTGGATGGCAGCAGTGATGTTCTTGATCGAGTGGGATTAATTTGGAGTTTTTCATCACAAGAACGGGAAATTCTTCCTGCCTAAGGTAATAACTAAACTGCCTTGATCGTGCAACACATGAAGAAAAACTTTCATTGTGTTAATTGAGTTCTACACGTGGAAGAGTCGTTTTTACGAACGGAACAGAAGTCCCGAGTAAATTTGCTCCTCCATTAATATTCCATTTCGAAGCTGCTGCGTAATTGCTTTGATTTGATATTATCGACCTACGTTATCTTTTTAATGGCTATAGGCAAATCTGGCAGCAAAGTTTATCTGTGGTCTTGTCAGCAAGACAAAAGTTTTTGGAGAATCAGTGTTTATTAGATCGTTTGAATGATGAGTTCTTTTCTTCTGGAGCAATGCTTTGAACTTTTTGCCTATTTTTGCTTTTATTGAATTTTTACCTTGCCCTGTATGTTTTCGACATTCCATTTCTTGTGCTTGAAGTTATCTGTATGCCGGCGAACGGATTTCACATACGGTGTGAACTGTTCACACCGGATTTCGAGCCATCGGAACAACACACATCCATGCGGGTGCATGTGTGTGTGTGTGCGTGCATGTGATCCGATGGCATCCGGTTACTCTAACCCGGATGGTCTCAGAAGGACGCCGAAGGTGTGGTTATTGCAAGGAAACCCGGATGGGCTTAATTTGTGGATGAGACGTATTTTAATATTATGAATTGTGATTTTTTTGATGCATTTCTTTTGTGCAAAGGATTGTTGTAGTGAGGATTGAGTTAGAATGAAGCGTGGGGTCTTGCATGATGATTTAACTAGGGTTAAGGATGTAAGAAAGGATGTAATTCCTTGGCTGTAGTTGTAGTTTTTGCTGCTTATACATGTGGTGATGAAAATTGCATATTGTTTGGTAGAGTTTAATTTGATCAAAAATATATATTGGACAATCACCATATGCTTAGTTTCTATGTCATTATTGGTTCTCACGAAGAGCTGTTAAACGAACTCAAACGATTCGCATTTGGCTTGTAAAAAGCGCAACTTGTTCAAGTAAGCGAACGAGCTGAGCCCAAGCAGCTAGCTGAGTTCCTTTTGTTGAATGATTCGAGTCAAATTTGTAATCGGTTCACATTTGGCTTGTAAAAGGTTAGAGCTCAACTTGTTCAGGTAAGCGAAGGAGCTGAGCTCGAGCAACTAACCGAGCTCATTTTGTTGAGCGACTGATATCAAATTTGTTGGCGAACAAGTCGTTTCAAATGAATTAGTTGAGCCAAACTTGTTCGTGAACCAACATTCCATGTCAGCGAACATCCCGTTTAAGGTTTTAGGTTATTATAATAATGAGTTGAACTGAGTTTTGACGAGCTTAAACGAGTCAAGTCGAGTCCGACTCATTTATTAGACAAGCACAAGCTCGAACAGACGACTCGACTTGACTCGTGCTACTCTTAACTTGAATAACAATTCTATTCTCACTTGGAAGTCAAACCTACTCAATGGAAAAAATAAAAATAAAACAAATCTGATAGGTTATTTTCAAGATTGGTGTGAATCACAAGATCACGAGTTTGTTAACGAACTCAAATGTGATGGCGCCATTAGTTCAAATTAATGGCAAAATTTAAGCCCCGTTTGGAAGATAGTGGATTGAAGATAAATTAGCGGATTGAACTTAATTGAGAGGTTTGACCCGTCAAATTCGCTATTGAGCTTGTTTGGTAAATAGCTTATTTGATAAGTTTTTTGGGCTTAAAACTCTAATTTAGAAAAAGCTTATTAGATGAGCTTTTTGGGATAGAGGATTCACAATCTACTATTTTAATTTGAAACTTTTCAAATTTGTATTATTAATTTTATAATTTACATTGGTTTATGGTGCTAATAAATAATAATATGTCATCCATATGATTAATTTATCTAGAAAAATGTGAAATTTATAACTTCTTAATCAAGTGTTAGTAAATTTAAAAAATATATATATATTTATAAATTACCAACTAAAGAATATTAAATGTTTTAATATACTATTAATAAAATAGTACACCTTAAATAATAAAAATGTTTTTATTGGTAATTTACAATGTCAAACAGCTATAAGCTTTTAGCTATTTACCAAACACTTATTTAAAAACCGTTAATGCAATTCGCTGGTCAAATCAGCTAATATAATTCGATATCTGCTATCCGCTAATACAATTCGTTATCCGCCATCCGCAGATCGCCAAAACAAGGCCTAAGTCTCGATACGTATTAATTTAGAGAAACAACAAACTTAATACAGTAACTTGTTTAAAAATACAATAGTAATAAAACTCAAGAAGAACAAAAAAGAAAATATTTTACTTTAAAAAAAAAAAATGGGTTTATGATTATAAACACACTAAATGCACCTAAATATGTCCACCACATTGTTATCCCACACGCCACGGGCACCACATTTCTTGTGCTTTCTCAACAAACAACACCATTAGCAACACCCATATGTTTCTTTTAATAAAATCTAGTACTTATTACAATATCTATCCACTTTAAAAAAAAAAAAAAAAAAAAAAAGCTCGCTTGGGCCTTGGCAATGGACGATGGCACGAACCGGAGGGGGCCCGCGAAGCTGCCAGGCCCGGACACTCCGGCCGGTGGGGCCCACGCCCCATGCGGGGCGTGCAAGTTCCTGAGGAGGAAGTGCGTTGCGGGCTGCATATTTGCCCCGCACTTCGGGCCAGACCAAGGCCCAGCCCGGTTCGCGGCCGTGCACAGGGTGTTTGGGGCCAGCAACGTGTCCAAGCTGCTCTCCCGCATCCCAATGGGCCGCCGCCATGATGCGGTCGTCACCATCTCGTACGAGGCCCATGCCCGATTGTCCGACCCAGTTCACGGCTGCGTGTCAACCATTATGGGCCTGCAACAACAGGTTGTTTATTCAGTTTAATTGTTGATAAATTTTTTTTTTTTTTTTAATTCACTTTAATCACTCGTTTGATTGTTATGCATGGGGAAAAAATAATGAAAAATCATAAATTATGAGTGTTCGTGAAGTTAGTTTGCATTTTACTAACAAAAATAATAGAGGTTGAAAAAATCCAAACACACGTTTACTACATATTGCAAAAAAATGTACTCTTATGAACTATTTCATTTATTTATTCATTTTAGGTGACATCACTTCAAGCAGAGCTATCAATGGTGCAAACTCAGCTTATGAACAGCAGAATTTTGATGGCAAATGCACTTCACACCTGGCCGCCGCCACACCACCACCACGATGTGGCGGCGGCAGGGCTGCAGCCAGCATATTCCGGCACCTCGTCAGCTTCCAACAATAATCACTTTAGCGTGCATAGTTTCGGGCCAAACAGCCTTAACGAAACCGCATTTTCCAATTGTTTTGAGCCCAATATCCCTCATCTTTTGGGCCGGGCCTTGCACGAGGAGGAAGAGGACGAAAGCCATGACCCAGTTGCCTTAGCTAACCGCATTTTTCTCTAGTGAATATATAGCTTTCGTTACAAAATATCATCGACGTTGATTCATATACATTTTCGAATGACTTAGATTTATGTCTACTTGATATTTGACATTGTAATAATCATAGGTCTTAAAGTGTATGGATATTGATCATCCTTGAAACGCAAAATGTGCGACGATATATAGTTAATTAAAACTTATTCTTAGCATAATTAAAAAATGTGCATGTTAAATTGTTGATTGCCGAGGATCAGGGCTACTAAGAATCGAGTAGAGTCAAACATTAGCCTATCGAGCCAGCCTGCTCGAGGATCAAGGGGCATCAAATGATTTGGCTCTGAGTCAATATTCTTTTTCTTCTTTTATCTTTATAAGAGAGTCATAATGTGTAGGTGCACTCAAAACTTGGTTTGGGTAAACTCAGACAAAAATATACAGATGCTCAAGATAGGCTCGAGATCGACTAGAATTTTAGAGACAAAAAATTCGATTAAGGAACAATTTTTTCTTGTATTCTGCTTGAATTTTAACTCGAGATATGAGTATTCAAGTAAATTACGCACATACTACTCGAGCGTTGAGCGGCCCATCGAGCAGTCAAGCTTTTATCATATTGGTTCTACTCGTGGTCGGCCAAATTTGAGTTCGAGTCGAGTTTTGGTTTGAACGCTAGCTATTCAGTCGTTTCGTAGCCCTAATGGTGAGGAGAGGAGAGATATTGTGTGCTTGTTTATGAATAAAATCTGGTTCAGACCGAACCCCGACCCGACCCGACCCGAGGCTGAAGGAAAGAGAAACTTCGATTGGACTAGCATGCCACAAATTGTTTTGGGCAGTCCATTGCTACAAAGATACCAAGGTTTAGTGGGCTAAAAAATAGACCTATCCCGGTTAGGTATGTTGGCCCAGTGAGAAAAAAGTGTTACTCTACTGTACCGCGAGTTTAGTTGATGATATGCCTGAGCACCTTAACCTACGCCTTTCCCGCCATTATTCCTCTCAAGGTCACTGTGAGAAAGAAGAAGAAGAAGAAGAAAAGAAGAAGAGAGAGAAGAGGAGAAGATGTTGTGGGTGGATAAGTATCGTCCCAAAACCCTAGACAAGGTTTTGGTGCACCAAGATATCGCCCAAAATCTCAAGAAATTGGTAATTGAGCTGCAAAATCGAATCAAATGCTTCTTTCTATGGTTTGAGGTGAAGTAACTTGAAATCTGTTCGGTTTTTGTTCTTTGATTTTGTTTTGGCGTTGTGTTGTGTAGGTGACGGAGCAAGACTGTCCGCATTTGCTGTTCTACGGTCCGTCTGGCTCGGGTAAGAAAACCCTAATAATGGCCCTTCTCAGGCAAATTTTTGGTGCTAGCGCCGATAAGGTGAGAGATTGCTAGCTAGCTTCCGAGTTCAATATTTTTTTTTTTTT